ATCACTCTAATTCTCCCTCTGGTTCTTTATATTGAGGGCTGTTTCATTCACTTTTGTATCCCCAATGTCTACTATAATATTGATCTTACTGTGGACACACAATTGTTTGAAGAATGGATAAATGAATAATTGAATGAGGCCTCTCTAAACTATAATCTCCCTTCCACTTCTGCCACACACACACACACACACACTGCCTCTATAATGCTAATCGTGAAGGAATCTATGAAATGTTAAGAAAATTTTACACACAAACATACACACACAAGCTATTTAAACAATATAACTCTATACATAATTGTTAAATTGAATGTTCTAGACCTGCTCCATCCAAAATGGTTCCCGCTAGCCACATGTAGCTATTAACTTCTTGAAATGAGATTGGTCTGAATTGAGATATGCTGTTAATGATAAAATATACATCGTGGAAAATGTGTCATTAATAATTTCTAAGTTGGTTACATATTGAAATGATAGTATTTTGGATATATTAGATAAAATGTATGTTCAAATTAATTTTACCTTTTAAAATCTTTTTTAATATGACCATGAGAAAATTTAGAACTATACATGTGGTTCTCATTATGTTTCCATTGAACAATGCTAGTCTACTATTAATGTTATTACTGGAAGGCTGTGTTAGTCAGGAGTGAGGTAGGCAAATGAGGCTCCAGGGACTATGTAAGATTTGATAAGCATAGATTTGTCAAAGGGAGATCTCTTCCGTTGTCAAACCAATGTGAGGAAAGGCAGGCGTAATTATGCCATTTACCTAGGGACAATGGACACACTGGTTTGGCTGGAATGATGGTTTGCTTTGGGGAATCTGGACATGAGTTAAAAAAATGGATGAGGGTCAGAATGAAAAGTGCATTCTGTGAAGACTAATGGAATCCTTTCAGAAGTAGGGAGCCACCCAGAGTTTCGAAATAGTGTGGTGATGGAGGGGGGAAAGCAATGTTTTTAGAAGCATTGTCTAGTGGGAATGCACACGTTTTGTTGTTGAAGGGTGGAGTCTGAAAGTTGGAAGACATGTTTGGAGGTTTTGAACTAATTTCACCATCCCACGACCATACAAGAGTTGCCTAGAGAGGTGAGCTTTAATAGCAAAGTCACAAACTTCTACCTATGCCTATACCACTGACACTCTAGGCTTTATTTCCTCAACTGTCAAATAAGAATAATCACAGCCCCCTGCCTAAATTAACAAGGCCATAATAAAACAGAGATGTGTACGGAATCTGGGAATGAAACAGAGATGTGTACAAAAAAGTTCTTTGGAAACTATAAAGTGCTTTGTAAAACTCTAATTGCTATCATTTATAATATTTTAGTAATAAGGATAATTCTTGATAACGTCTTAATATTCTGCCTTACTATTTTAAATAACCACCACCAGTTTTAATAAGTAAAAAAAAGGCTTACATTTTTCTTGAGCAAAAGAGCATATCAAAAATTGTTGTGAGATTCGTTTTTTGAAAATTGACAGGAAAAAAATAAAAGCAATATTTTAAATGAATGCCATAGTGGGTATGGAAAAATAACATATTTTTAAACTTGGAGCATTACTCAAAATTTCAACTCTCCGGTCTTCTAGATTGATTATTCAGGAGGGGAAAACATGGGGGAACACTTGCCTATTGTTGAAGAAAAATGTCAATTTTCTCAGTTTCCTGTGCCTATCTAATACATTTCGTACAACACAAAATATACATTTTTGGAAAAGGATTTGTGATTGAAAATGTTTGTCTTCAGATATTTAACATTTTGAAAACAATTTTCATCTTCAAAGGAAACATTGGTGTTTTATAGTCCACAAAATCTGAAACAGTTTGTCATATAATACTCATATTAGTATCTGGACAATGTTTTTTAATTTTATGTTTCTATATTATGTAAAAATTCATTTATTAAAAAACTAAAAGAGATGTCTGAAATCCAAATATTTTCAAAGCACAATGTTTTAAAGTTAGTAGTGGTAGTGCTAGAAAAAAGGGGAGAAGTAGTTTAAATATCAAATTCTGAGATAGAACATGTTCTAAATATAGCAAGACTATCTTCAATAACTTTCTTCTACAGAACATCTAAAAAATAAATTTTTACAAAAAAAATAAAATAAAAATAAATTTTGGGAAAAAAATTGTAAGCTAAATGTTCCAAATTTTTAACAGAAAGAAAATCTTTGAGGTACCTTTCCTTCTTTTAATTGATGAAGCAATCAATTTCTACTGTTAATAAATTCATGAAATACATTTCCTCTTGCTTCTCTCCAAAAGTTAAGATCCAAAATCAGAATAACTGACAAGCAATTCTGGTCAACCCTGCCTGTCTTATGTGGAAGTCGGGAAAGATGTAATTACTTCTACCAATTACCACTCCCACTTACCTAATACCTAAAACCAGTTTTCATTTGGAGCCAGAACACTCGATTCCCACCGTGTTTCTCATAAATCTCTTAGCCTTTGGCTCTCCTTTTCCAATAAAGAGTCAATCTGATAGCCTAATGTGAAAGTTTGCTTAGGAAATTCATCACAAGAAAATTATATAGGCAATTGGTTGCTATCTATAATTATACTATGAATAATTGAATCTGTCTAAAACACATATTTTTCTTCTTGCATAGCCACTGTATGGTTGGTAGGGCTGAATACTACACAATTCCAGGAGGTGCATTCATATAAAATACAATGTGAACATTGCCCTCTGGAGTTGTGCAAGGAGCAACCTACACAGTTGCATATATGGGAACTGGTTCTTTTCTTTCTCTGATGCTTAAGAAAAAGAAAGTTCTTATGTGCTTTGATGTGAATAATAATATTAAGAGGTCACTTCATATCAAAGTGGCTCTTTTATACCTTTTTTTTCAAGTTTGGTAACAGAAATGATTAACATTTTTTAAGTATATATCATGGGATAAGACTCATCGATGTGCTCTCCCCCTATTAATTCATTTAATCCTGACAAGAAACCTATAAAGTAAGTACAATTATTATCTCAAACTTACAGATAAGGAAATTGGAAGATTAAGTAATGTTCCCAAGTTATATCCATGGTTCATAATGAGACTGGAATTTAAATTCAGGGATTCAGGATCTGGTGTCCAATTTTGCATTATTATACTTGACTATATTTATACAGCATTTAAAATGAGCATTTGAGAATACCCACAAGTATTTATTTTTATCAGCATCTCTATCATGATACAAAGTTTAACATTCTAAATTAATTGAGTTTACTCTAAAAATCAGTTACTGAAATCGAATTGTCCCAAATTAAAGAATAGTTTCCAATGAAATAAACATATCATTTTTGTTCAAGTAAGGAATTTGCCTTAACGATTACAAAGTTCACTAGAATATTTGGGAGGTTTGAAATTTTAATATTTTTAAAGTATATATACAGATAGATGGCTATGAGATATCATAAAAGATAAATCACACATTTCTTCTGAATTGTACATATGTAATTTATTCATCAATCATGTATTAAATGACCTCTATGACTTGTCACAATAATCATCACTATATCTAACCAATTACAAAAAATAAGAGTAAAATAAGAGTAAAGATTTATGTTGTCAGGAAACTATTGAAATGGTTATTAAATATTGAAAATAATTTTATTAGCAAATTAACTAAAATAATTATATAGCCACATATAAGTATTAATTAACTAAAATACTTAAGTTTGTAAAAATACTATTCTAAATTATGCAAGGCTATGATTGTATTTCTAAATATCTAAAGAGCATTTCAATATTTAGAACTCATTCTTATTAACTATGCCATATTCCTAGAAGAACAAAAATAATCACATTTCACAAATGAAACTAGGGAACATT